TTTTGTGCATGATTTTGAATGAATGTCGTTTTACCTAAACCTGCTATCTTCGATGACACAATATGACAATTTTTCACTAGTTTTTTTACATATTTATTTAAGTCACCTTCATTTAATAATTCGTTATCACGTACAATTTTAGCTATATCCATGCGTAATATTCCATTAATTAGATGAGTTTGAATATCAGTTGTTACAATACTTAATTTAAATTTATTTGATGGATCATGTTCAATTAATTTAATGATCAATTGACAACATTTATCTTGTACATTGAATTCCAATTGTTCAGGTTCAATGAATTGATATAAATTAGATGATGAATAAAAACAACGATAAATAAAAGCTCGAACATCTATCCAGTTTGTTTCTGTTGTACAAAATAATATTTGATTTAGTGCAGGATCGCTATTATCATAATGAAATAAAGATAAAATCGCTCGATATCTACCTTCAATTGATGTTTCAGTTATGAAAATTTTTCCTTCTTGCCTGTCTGTAGAGATTGATTGTTCAGATACTAATGACGATTTTATTACACTTCTACGTTGCTCATTTAAAAATTTTCCAAGATTTTCTAATCGTTCTTCAGGTTTTAAATTTTCATTTATAATAAATTTCGTTGAAACTAAATTTTCAATTTCAATGTATTTTAATAAATGATAACCGTGATCTTGTGATTTCAATTCTTTATAATTTTGTAAAGTCTTTTCAACAGTCCAAAATTGTTTTCCTGATAGATAAGTTAACTCAGGATAACGTTTGTATAGGTCAATTAAATTTTCTTCCCATAATGTAACTATGTTTTTCAATGACACGTTCAACTGACTTAATTCTGAAAAATCGCATTCAACACATTTATATACGTTTTCTGAGTATTTTTCGATTGTTGGATAACCCATAGCATTCAAATGATTTAAACTGTCCAACACATTTTCAATAACATCAACCAATGACACGAAACATCGTAGAAACTGTTTTTTCTCTTCTTTTGTATATTTCCGTTGTCTCTTTTTTTCATTGCCAGAATATTCTATTAATCTTGCTCTATCCCTTAGTTCATGTAAATTATAGTAATTAAATTGTCCCCCTTTATCTAGTTTTACACAAACATCATATTTCTTTGTGCTATCCTGTTGAGGATGTTGCTGATATGCTTCAGTAATTTTCAATGATGCATTATTAATAATATGAAATATTTTTGTACGTTTCGATTCTTCTATATCAGTCAATTGTAAATATAATCGTTGAACACCAGGCAATGCAGATGAACATGTTTGAAAATAACTGATTGTATCTGCATATTCTTTTTGTTTTAATAATGTGTTGATATATGATAAAATATCATTTAGTGTTTTTGATGCTTGTTCATGAGTGTTACTATAATTATTAATATTGGTAAGAAAGTGTCCTAATTGAACAAAATCAATAATCGTTTGTGTTGTAATGAATGATTCATCCCAATCATTAACTGCTTCTAATAAATTATCCATATCAGTTTGGTTTAGTCTTGTGACAAACTCAACAAGTTTTTTTGAATTTTTATAATGTGAACAAACATCTAATACTTCTTTAGAGTACTTTTTAATAATTCTTTCCTTAAATTGTTGATAATTGCTATAGCACATATTTCCATTTGTAGTTTCAGTCGTTTTACCTAATAATGATAAAAACTTATAATCACCTGATAAATTATACAATTGTATTAAACGATTGATTCCTTCACACCATTTATGAATATAGTCTTTTTTGCTCCAATAATCAAGAATGCAAGTTAAAGGTGCAATTGCATTTGGTTCTAAAAGATTAGTTAATAACTGCATTTCATTTTCAATCAAATCAATATCTTTGAAAGTCATAATTATTGTTTGAATTGGAATAGTTTCCCATTGTTTTGAAATTGATTGAAGATGTTTCGTAAAATGTTGGAATAAATCACATGTCTTTTGTAAAATATCGAGACATGAATAGATTGGTACCTCTGTAGAGGGCTGTTGCTTTTCAACATTCACCGATTCGTCCACTGAGTTTTCTAAGCAAAATATTTTTATATGCATCTCCAAAAGAGAATAGGGGTGGAGAAAAGTGCGATAAGATTTCAAAAATAAAATAAAAGTGCATTTGCTTCAATCTTTCAAACAGATCTAGAAGAATCTTTACTTCTATGCATTGCAGCAGAACTAGGAGAGCGAAAATTGTAATAAGAAAATCGTATCTCAACTAGAAACATGTTATTAATATGAATCAAAGCCAATATTTTTACTGAACCAGGTTTTAATAGGGAATTCAACATAATGTTATACACATTTTATTTGATCACATCATCCGATTAGTGTTAGTTGTTTGAATTATTTCCCTTCATTTATCTTAAGGTAGAGTCCTGTGTGGATTAGATCTATCAAACTCGAAATCTGCCAGAAGCTTTTATTCGAATTCGACTTCAAACTGACCCGAAAAAATAGTCAAGAATGATTTTGTAGAACTATTTGATGATGAAAATGTAGAAAAAGAGAAGATTTTCCTAACCTCACATCCAATCTCAAACAGTTGAGATTACTCAGCTGTTGCTTATAAAAATGAAGCATTAACAAAAATTTTGACGGGAATAGTCGAGCTTATTGAGAGGATAAAATTGGTTCAATTCGTAATTCGAATTCTTCGGATCAAAAATCAGTATTCGCATTCTACTTATGAAACAAAGTACGTAGAGCTTTATCAACTAGGATTATATTTCTTGTTGATTGACTATATACGTAACCTCACACTATGGTGAACTTTCTTGTAAGTCTTCGACTATAATATGAACCGATACAATCATGTAATTGTTTGTATATAGGATCAATGAGACGATATCGAAGAAGAGATAGAATGCTGAAAATTAATTGAATTATGCAGCATGTAATCAAGCAGCGGAGCACGAAAAATATTGAGAGAACAATCCATGATCTCGCTGTTATAAAGATGGATCACTTAACACGTAGCGGATCTCGAACAAATTTAAGGGAAAATCACGTTCTTAAATAATTTATCGTTATCATCGTGGGCAAATAGTTAATTGTCTTAAAATACAATTACACTTTGATAGGTAATACTTGATAGTGCTGCGCGAAAATACAATATATTTGTTAAATAAATGTTCGAATGGCATTATTGTTTGGTAATGGACAACTCATTTGCAGATACGAACTTAAATGGGATAGATCATACAATACTGTTAAACACTAAGTTCCCCTACTGAAGATGTTGCAATCAAAGAGTCGTCTGTGTAATCAAAATTGAGGCATTATATTAATCAAATAGTTCTCTATGCCTAGAATTTGATGAAGAGAGCGTTTCTCTTTACTCGAACGAGAGATGAAGTGATCTTTACAATGGAAATAGAACGACTAACTGCAGCAGCAACATTGACCATGAAGACAGAAAAGGTGAAGAGATCAGATCAGATCAGATCATACATGAATATGAAATAGAGGAAGAGAGAACATGGAGGATAATTCATACTTTCCTATGCTACTATGAGTTTTTTTATATGAGATTACCAAGTTTTCAATATAACGATGACATCGAAAATTTAAGTTTTAGAACAGCAAAGAATTATTGCATTGAGTTATTTTATCCGCGTAGTGGTACTTAGAAGATTTTGATTTTTAAAAAGAAGAAAACAGATCTTGCTACATTGCTTGTTTTAACTTTCTTCTCTCGAATGATGCGGACAACCAAAGTGATTAGTCAAGCTATTGAATTATAGTTGTGTAAACAAGAATACTACTATTCATAAACAAATACTCAAATCCGACTTCATTCCTAATCGTACCCAAACATGATCTGAACTTCTGCTCAGATCGAATAGACTCAAGTCGCAGAACTTTGTCTTGAGGTAGCGGTCGTCCATAAGATAACTATCCTCTACCATTTTTTCTAGCCTGTGTGTACATGGCGGCCAAAATTTTTGTGCATATAGATGCAAACCCTGGGATAACTTTTGAGGCCGTTGGTTTGATTGTTAGAAGCAATGGATGAATGTTTTTGTTCGTGGAGCTGTTCACTATCCGAAATTTTTTCAGATTTTTCCGTTGCTGTTGTTGAAGCTGAAAGATAATAAAAAATCGAGGTTTGTCCAAACTCGCTTCTTATTTACAGCTCAGTATAATAGTAAACTTGTTTCGCATAACGATGAAAAATAATGCTGAAAAAAGAACGTAGAGGGAACAAGTAGACGAGTAGTATTAATTTAACAACGCTATTGACACTTCTAAGATCCGTTTATTAAAATGAGTACTGTAGCCTGACTACCTAACAATCGTATTTATGTTTGGCAAAACTTTAATCAAGCTTACTTTTATTAAAACTGTTTTGTTGATTTTGCCGAAACGATAGCCATGTCTTTGATAAATTGTATGGATTTAACACATCAGCAAATGGCACTAATCTAGAAATCTCATTAGGTATTTGAATGAGTTTGATAGTATTAGTTGTTAGTTGTTGTGTTAAATTTTCTATTGCTGATTGATATTTTTGGATGTCACCTGCTTTTCCACAGTACATGTTTAAACATGTTTGAACTTTTTCTTTAATTTTTGATTTTTCTTCGATTTCCTTATATGCATTGTTTAATAATATTTCCATTGATGGTTGTTGGCCACGGAATTTTTGAACATATTGCCATATCTTATCAAATTGTTTTTTTTGATCTCTTGAAAAATGTCTTGAATAATTGACGTCCTCAAGTCTTATGCCATGTTCTTCCCATCTTTTTAATATTTTTTTTAATTCGTTGACTGCAGTTTGATGAATATTAAATTTTTGAAAATGCGGATCAAACAGAACGACAGAAAGAAATGAGTTTTCATTTGGGTTCAATAGAGCGTCGTTGCGAACACTATACTCTTCTAGTTTTATTGCATCAGTACATATTTCCATTAGTTCTACTGTTAGTTTAATATTTGGATATTTTCTTGCATTTTGCCAAAGTCGGTACAACGGCGAATAAATATTCATCGTTTTCATTCTGTTTAAATTTATTAGAACAACATTATTTTTGAAATGTAATTTAAAGACACTTAAGAATTTCTTGTTACTAACATGTAGTCCAATTTCGTTTACTCTCTTAATTATATTAGGTTCATTTTTATCGTAGCTAGATAATATTTGTTTAATAAATATATCTACACGTGATATTGACGTTTTATTTTTATTTTCACTTTGTTCTAACATCGAGATTAATATGTCTAATGATTTAATAAGATCAATATAAATTGGAAGATGATAAATGAACTGTTTTAACCAGCTGTCTAAGAAATATATGAAATTGCTTGCTTCTTCATTCGAATTCGCATAATGTGGATCACAAACGAAACAATTGAACCATTCGATATAAAATTCAGTTAGAAGACGTGACTCGGTAAAATTATGTTGTTTGAGAGTATTGCTGATATAGTTTGTTTTCTCTGTGTACCGTAGTAGATATGGATTGTAGTATTCATTGAATACTTGGTATAGTAAACGTAATTGATTCTTATCAGTAATTCGTAATATGTTCAAATAATTCGCAATATATGAGGGTAATTCTTCAGATTGTTCTAAAATATTACGTAAATCATTTGTACAATTTGTTTTCAATGTTTTGAATAAAACTAGAATATCTTCAAGTGTTAATTCAAAATGATTTTTATGTATCATTGCTTTTAAATTATTCGAAATATTCTCTTCGATATTTGGTATGCACTTTGAATTTAAAAGTTTTTCAGCATAATTTATATATTCTGTGAATGTATTTGTTAATTGTAAACACTCAACTATTAAGTGATTATCAGTTGTCATCTTGAACAAATCTAACCAATTCGGTTGTGTTGGTTTAATACTGCATGACGTTATTTTTTTTGCTACACTATCGGCAACTTGTTGTTGATATTGATTAGTGTGTGGCATCAAATTAATAAATGTTATACTATCATTTTGCTGTGACATACTGTACAGTTGAAACTTGAGACAGAGTAAGTTGGTTAAACCATCTTTTACTAATAACCAATCGCTCCCTTTTATAGAGTTGAAAAATGGTTCAATTTTGTTGGCTATTGTCTGTAACAATATATCAATATAAGAAATTGATTTCTTTTGCCATATCGATCTTTGACCAATATTTAAAAATCCAATCATACGCGCAAGTATAATACTGACGTAAACGATGTCATCCAGAGCGTATCGAATACTAGGTAAATATGTGAAACATTTTTGAAAAAAATCATCAATATCAACTTGTTCAAAATCTGCACATTGTGTGCTGAATTGATCAACAAACAGATCATATATATCAAAATCACCTTTTTTAATTAAAAAGTACGTATATTGCCATAATTGATCCCAGTATAAAACACTAGTGCAAGGCGGCTTTGTACGTAACGCTCCTCGTTGAAAATCTACGGAAAATAAAAATTGATGATTCAATGCATTTACACCAAAAACTTGTCGATTCCGTAATCCTTTTTCTTCCTGATAATGCCAGTTTGACAAAGTGCCGGCAGCTGATATTCTTAAATAATATGAAGTTATTGATTTGGCATCTTGATCTGTCTCATTCGATAATTTCAAAAGGTATAAATATGGTAAGTTATCAGCAGGAGAATTTTTTGTTTGCAGATTCGCGAAACGTTCAAATACAAACTTTTTGTCATCCTTATCGGTTAATAATTGTAGATCAAAGTCGTTTGGTTTGTCCGATATTAACAAAGCGTAAAGATAAAGATAATCCATCTGCTTTTTTCTAAATTTTGTTCTTTTCAAAACGTAGAAATTGTTACTTTATCGGTATAAAGTCTGTTCACTATTATCTACAAAACAACGAGACAATAAAAAGAAAATAAACTTAATGTCATAGGTAATTGAAGCATAATATTTAAAGAGTGATATTATCATACTGCATGGTATGAAAAACGCCATGCAATCCTTATAATGTATATACTGTCTGAAAAGAGATGCAAAAAAAATCTTTACATAAATGGCATGCATCTCACCAAATTCTTCCCAGTTAGGTATTTTTTTTGTCGTTTTTTGAAGAAAAAAGGAAAAAACCCTAAAATAAATTATTCATCTATATCTTTGTGGGTGTGGGTGTGCGGATGTGGATGTGGGAGTGGATGCGGGTGCGGGTGTGGGGTGTGGGCGTGGGTGCGGGTGGGTGTGGAGTGTGGGTGGGTGTGGGTGTAGGTGTGGCTGTGGCTGTGGGTATGGAGTGTGTGAATTCTCTTCACCCTCACACCCACACCCCACCCCCACACCCTGACGCTCGAGAATTTTTGATTTTCCTAGACGCACAAGTTTAACAGCTATTTCTATTGGCAGTCTCCATATTTGAAGAACATTTGTTGAAGAACTCGAAATCTTTCAAAAAACCTCTTGAATCCTGAAGAAACATCGACAAACCATACATTCGCTAATATTGTTAAAGATTCTTACTTTTCCCCAGTTAAATTCCTGTTTCGAAGAGTCAAAATAAGAGCTCTATTTATGCACTTCTTTTCGATGACAAACACGAAAGAAAAGTGACTCTATTATTTCTCTCAGCCTCTTTTTATAACTACTACAAGATAAGATACCAAAGGTTATTTCCCTTGTATTGCAAGTCATAAGATAGAGTCGAATAACATATTCAGGGTGTGGGTGTGAGTGTGGGTTTGGATGTGGGTGTGGGGTGTGAGCGTGGGTGTGGGTGCTGGTGTGGTTGGATGTGGGTGTGAGGGTATGGGTGTGGGTGTGGGGTGTGAGCGTGGGTGTGGGTGTGGGTGCTGGTGTGGTTGGGTGTGGGTGTGGGTGTGGGTGCTGGTGTGGTTGGGTGTGGGTGTGAGGGTATGGGTGTGGGTGTGGGTGTGGGTGTGGGTGCTGGTGTGGATGCTGGTGTGGTTGGGTGTGGGTGTGAGGGTATGGGTGTGGGTCAGGGCTGCCAAATCAAAATTTCAAAAACCAGGAGTTTTTTGAGAAAAATCAGGAGTTTACCAGAAGATTTTTACTCAAAAATCAGGAGAAAAATCAGGAGATGTTTACTGAAATCAGAAAATGAGTTAGTGGTCTTCTCTCAAAGAAAACTGAAGTTCTCGTTCATCTAATCACTTGTTATGTTCTTCTACTAAGTTACTGATGACAGAATTTCCTTTAAATGATATATATTACAAAAAAAAGATAGTTCTGTGGAATTTATTTAACTACTCGTTTCACAGTGGTTCATCAAAATATACCGACAAAATAGAAAGTGAAGTTTAATTAGACGTTAAAATGTAACTAAACAAAATGAGCATACATGAACAATAATTTATCAACTATACCGTTCATGTCACTTTTGTAACATGACCATAAACGGAAGGGTCACAAGGCTTGAGTATGCTCGAGCCTACTCTAGATTGAACAGTTAAAGGCTTAGGTAGGTTCGCGGATGGAATAAATGAAGACTTAGATACGATCTATTCATAGACGATGGAATCACATGACTTCAGTAGACTAAAGTCCATCTTAGGTTCAGATTCCATAGACTATGGTACCCTCAAATAATTGTTTTCTACTACGTCAAATTGATAGGTTTGTGCAGTACATAAAAACTTTTGTATGGACGTCAAGATTTTTTGCCACTATCGGCAATAAATAGTAACATTTATTGAAACAGACCTAGAAACTATTTTTGAGAAAACTTTTAGTTTTATGTGGCTAAATGTCCAATCTTGGGTCAGCCATGATTTAAAGTGGGGT